TTTTTAATTTTAGAGAGAGATTCTTTCTCTCACTGTCCACTCTGCCTGTCAAAAAAATAAATAAATAAAAAAAAAGGCCGGCGCTGTGGCTCAATAGGCTAATCTTCCGCCTTGCGGCGCCAGCACACCGGGTTCTAGTCTCGGTCGGGGCGCCGGATTCTGTCCCGGTTGCCCCTCTTCCAGGCCAGCTCTCTGCAGTGGCCAGGGAGTGCAGTGGAGGATGGCCCAAGTGCTTGGGCCCTGCACCCCATGGGAGACCAGGAAAAGCACCTGGCTCCTGCCATCGGATCAGCGCGGTGCGCCGGCCGCGGCCATTGGAGGGTGACCCAACGGCAAAGGAAGACCTTTCTCTCTGTCTTTCTCTCACTGTCCACTCTGCCTGTCAAAAAAAAAATAATAATAATTTTAGAGAGAGAAAAAAGGAATGAATGAAATAGAAATAAAGAAAGCAGCTCCCATCTGCTGCTTCAGTCCCCAAATGCCCACCATAGCTAAGGCTGAACCAGGCTGAAAGTGGGAGCTGGGAACTCAATCCAGGTCTTCCACATGGATGGCAGGGACCCAAGTACTTGAGCTATCTATCACCACCTAACTCCCAGGGTACATAACAGCAGGAAGCTGAGAGCAGGAGCAGAGCCAGGATACAAACCTGGGAACTTCTTGTGGGATTCCAGCATCCCAATCAGTGGCTTAACTGCTAGGTTAAAAGGCTACCTCAGCTCTTCATTAAACCATACCTTCTCCATGTCTGTATTTCTTGTCACATTTGCATTTCAGTTCTTCACCCAATCTAGCATATCATTAGCACTTAGATTCAAGTCTATTAAATAAAGGGCTTAACAGCAACAATTTGACAATCAGCAGCGAACATGATAGAGACAAGGAGTAAGTATGGCAAAGACTATTAGTTGCCATTCAATAAAGATCCCCACCTCACATTCACTGAAAAAGTCTATATACTCAGCTAAAAGCCATTCCTGAATTGCTTGCAACCAAGTATAGCTATATGACTAAGTTCTGGTCAATGAAATCACAGAGAGTACTGTACAGGAAATTCTGGTAAGGTTTCTTAAAAGATGGAAAGGTGTGTCCTTTTTTGTGTGTGCCTTCCTTACTTCCATCTGCAATATGGATGTATGGTTGGAGATCCAACAACCACTAGGTCATCTTGAAAATGGAAGCCACATAGGTAAGGATGACAAAGGAAAAAGACAGAAGTGGCTTGAGTCCCTGGCAATTCTATGGAGTTGGCCATACTGGCCCTAGACTACCTACCTCTAATTTTTTTTTTTCTTTTGCAAGACAAAATAATTAACTACCTTGTTTAAGCAATGGTTATTTTAAAGCCATTTTTATTTATTCATTTCCAGTTTCTATTTAAAGCAGAGAGACAGAGATATTCCATCTACTGTTTCACTCCTCAACTGCCTGTAACAGCCAGGGCTGGGCCAGGCTGAAGCTAGGAGTCCAAAACTCAATCTGGGTCTCAATGTGGTGGCAAGGACCCAAGTACTTGAGTCATCATCTGCAGCCTCCTGGGATGTATATTAGCAGAAAGCTGGACCGGAAGCAGAACAGCTGTGACTTGAACAAAGCATTCTGATACGGGATGCATGCATCCCAAGCAGCACTTAACCACTGTGCTAAACGCCTACACCAGCAATGGTTATTTTTTATCTGACTCTAGCAGCCAAACACAATTACTGATAAGAAGAAAATCCAGCAGCAAATCTGTAGTCTGAAACACCTGCAGCCATCTCAGCTATGCTGCAATTTAATGACAACAAAGTATAAGAAATTTCTACTGGAATGGAAGGAGTAGATTAGTAAGCAAGATTCAACAAAGAGCCTCTATTCTTTGAAGGCACACCACCATTATAGTTCATTTGGATGGATTCAGAGTTTTTTTAGCACACTGGCGAATTTTATAATGCAAGTAAGGTAATTTTTGGCCAACATTTAGGAGTTATGTTCTAGAAAAGTAATGTGGCTTACAAAGCTGTGACTGGAAAGAACAAATAATATGAAAATAAGGGGTGAGAAAAATAAACAATAAATGGAAGTGAAATCACCTGTTTAACTTTTTCAAATAAAAACAAGTGGGTTGGTATTGAGGGGCAGCAGGGTTAAGCTGCCACCTGCAATGGCAGTATACTGTAAGAGTACTGGAAGCGCCACTTCTGACCAGTTCAAACTAATGTGCCTGGGAAAGCAGTGGAAAATGGCCCAAGTGCTTGACCCCTGCACCCACACGAAACAGGGATGGAGTTCCATGCTCCTGGCTTTGGCCTGGTCCAGTCCTGGGCCTTCAGTCATTTGGGAAGTAAAAGACTGTATAGAAGATCTTTCTTGGGGGCTGGCGCTGTGGCATAGTGGGTAAAGCCGCCACCTGCACCTCACCATCCCAAATGGGTGCTGGTGCAGTTCTCAGCTGTTCCACTTCTAATCCAGCTCTCTGCTACTGCCTAGGAAAGCACTAGAAGATGGCCCAAGTCCTTGGCCCCTGTACCTGAGTGGGAGACCCAGAAGAAGCTCCTGGCTCCGGATTGCTGCAGCTCCGGCCGTTGTGGCCAATTGGGGAGTGAACCAGAGGATGGAAGACCTCTCTCTGCCTCCTTCTCTCTGTGTAACTCTGACTTTCAAATAAATAAATCTTTGAAGATAAACTTAAAAAACCAATGATTTCTATTAATGTCTTTCAAGTTTTTTTCATTTTTACTTTTTTTAAATCTTCAAGAAACACTGCTGTAGCAAAACAATCAGTAAAGGCTGATTCTCCCACATGTTATGCACACTTTTCTACTTCATAAATATTTTGAACCAGTCCTTCCTGGCTTGCCACTTAATGTCCTTTATATTTGGGTCTTTAAATTTTTATTAAGTCATATTAACTTTTTTTTTTTTTTTGCCAATTCTTAGTGATTATGTCATTTTTGGATTGTTCTTCATCCTTAAAGAAAACAGAAAATAAACTGATGCTTACCCTACAGACCTGCATAAAATATTACATAACCTGACATTATGAAATACACACTTGCATTATCTTTAATAAAAGATTAATTGGCAATCCAGCAATTCCATTATGCAGGGGTGGAGAATCTTTTTTCTGCCAAGGGGCATTTGGATATTTATAACATCATTCACAGGACATACAAAGTTATCAACTTAAAAATTATACTGCTACAGATTTACTGTATTTATTGTCAGGGCCAGATCAAATGATTTCTTGGGCCTTATATTGTCCTGCAGGGTGAATGTTCCCTACCCTTGCATTAATGGGTAGGAAATCAGTATGTTAAAGAGATATCGGGGCTGGCGCTGTGGTGTAGTGGGCAAAACTTCTACCTGCAGCGCCAGCATTCTATATGGGTGCCAATTCGAGTCCCGGCTGCTCCTCTTCCTACCTAGCTCTCTGCAGGCCCAAGTGCTTAGGCCCCTGCACCAGGGTGGGAGGCCTGGGAGAAGCTCCTGTTTCCTGACTTCTGGCTCAGCTCTAGCCATTACGGCCATCTGGGGAGTGAACCAGAGGATGGAAGACCTCTCTCTGTGTCTCTGCCTCTCTCTGTCTATATCTCTGCCTCTCAAATAAATAAATAAATAAATATCTTAAAAGGGGAGAGAGAGGGGGAGGGGGAGAAGAAGGAGAGAGAGATTTGCACTCCCATATTTATGGCAGCATATTCATAATAGCCAAGACAGGGAATCAACCTACGTATCCACTGACATGAATGGATAATTAAAATGTGGTATAAATACAATGGAATGTTATTTAGCCATAAAAATGAAATCTCGTCACCTGCAGCATCACAGATGAGTTTAAGAGAACATCATGTTAAATGAATAAGAACATGACAAATATCACATATTCTTGTTCATATGTGGAAGCTTAAAAAGTTAACTTTATAGGCTGGCACCGCAGCTCACTAGGCTAATCCTCTGCCTTGCGGCACCGGCACCCAAGGGTTCTAGTCCCAGTCGGGGCGCCGGATTCTGTCCTGGTTGTCCCTCTTCCAGGCCAGCTCTCTGCTATGGCCCGGGAGTGCAGTGGAGGATGGCCCAAGTCCTTGGGCCCTGCACCCGCATGGGAGACCAGGAGAAGTACCTGGCTCCTGGCTTCGGATCAGCGCGATGCGCCGGCCGAGGCAGCCATTGGAGGGTGAACCAACGGTAAAAGGAAGACCTTTCTGTCTCTCACTGTCCACTCTGCCTGTCAAAAAAAAAAAAAAGTTAACTTTATAGAAGTCAAGTGTGATTACCAGAGAATGGAAAGGGTGAGGCTAGAAGAGTGATGAAGAGAAGATGGTTAATAGGTACAGTAGTGCAGTTGGACACATGGAATAACATTCAGTAAACTATAATACAGTAAGATAATTATGGTCGATAATAAACTGTACATATTCTTTCAAAAGAAGTATCAAAGAAAATTTTGTATATTCCCAACATAAAGAAATGATAAATGTCTGAGGTGTTGCATATGCTGATTAACCTGAACTATTTATTACACATTGAATAAATGTACTTTAAAAAAACAACACTGTATCCCATAAATATGTACAATTATGTATCAATTAAAAATAAAATAAATGAATTGGCATAACTGGTGGTTTATGTTTTAGAATTAAGCTATATTAGAAATCTTACAAGTATATAAAAGTATATATATGAACTGCAGAAAGAACTAAGTACAAAAGAAAAATGATCCTATGACATGTACTCTAACACTGTTTTACTGAAAAGCAAAGGACTAAAGCCTAAAAGATTATAATAATCTCAGCAGACAACACTAAATAGGTCTAACAATGTTGGTCAACTAACTAAAGCAGATGGTTGCTCAAGTGGTTTGGTCACCGCCACCCATGTGAAGACCTAGATTAAGTTCCCAGTTTCAGCCCAGCCCAGCCCAGCCCTGGATGTTGCAGACATTTGAGGAGTGAACCACTGGTTAGGAGATCTGTCTGCCTCTCTGCCTTTCAAATAAATAAAATGAACAAATCACTCACCTATTATAGTATCCCGTTCTAGTTTTTGATTCATTTATTATAGTATTATTACGGTCATGCTGACTCCAATGCTTCCTTCACTATAATTAAAAATATATTAAGATGTATGAAAGTACAACGGGGAACCACTAAAGGCTTTTGTGTAAAATAATACATGACAGGAGGGGCCGGCGCTGTGGCACAGTGGGTTAATCCTCCATCTGTGGCACCAGCATCCCATATGGCGCTGGTTCTAGGCTGCTCCTCTTCCAGTCCAGCTCTCTGCTATGGCCTTGGAGAGCAGTACAAGATGACTCAAGTCCTTGGGCCCCTGCACCCACATGGAGACAAGGAAGAAGCTCCTGGCTTCAGATCGGTGCAGCTCTGGCTGTTGCAGCCATTTGGGGAGTGAACCAACGGAAGGAAGACCTTTCTCTCTCTCTCTCTCACTGTCTGTAATTCTACCTCTCAAAATAAAGAAATAAAATCTTTTTTTTTTTTTTTTGACAGGCAGAGTTAGACAGTGAGAGAGAGAGACAGAGAGAAAGGTCTTCCTTTTTCCGTTGGTTCACCCCCCAAGTGGCCGCTATGGCCAGCATGCTATGCTGATCCGAAGCCAGGAGCCAGGTGCTTCCTCCTGGTCTCCCATGCGGGTGCAGGGCCCAGGGACCTGGGCCACAGCAGAGAGCTGGACTGGAAGAGGAGCAACCAGACAGAATCCGGCGCCCCACCTGGACTAGAACCCGGTGTGCTGGCGCCGCAAGGCGAAGGATTAGCCTAGTGAGCCGTGGTGCCGGCCTAGAAATAAAATGATCCTAGCAAGAGGCCTACTAAGTGATTAAAAACTTGAACTATTATTGCTGCTGCTACTACCACTACTACTCACAGCTAACACTCATGTTTTATCATGTGCCAAGAACTGAAATGAGAATTTTCTGTGTATCTGTTGATTTAATCCTCATAACAAGCATTTTAAAAACTGTTAAACTTGAAACAATTATAAACTTTTTTTTGTTTTAATTAGGCAGAGTTAGACAGTGAGAGAGAGAGAGACAGAAAAGTCTTCCTTCCGTTGGTTCACCCCCCAAATGGCCACTATGGCCGGTGCTTCATTAGGCTCTCCCACATGGGTGGTGGGATCCAACTACTTGGGCCATCCTCCACTGCTTCCCCAGGTGCATTAGCAGGGAGCTGGATTGGAGATGGAGCAGCCAGGACTCAAACCAGTGCTCATACCAGATGCTGTCACCACAGGTGGTGACTTAACCCGCTGTGCCACAGCACTAGCCCCCTGGATTCACTTCACTTTTTTTTTTTTTTTTTAAGATTTATTTATTTATTTGAAAGGAAGAGTTACAGAGAGGCAGATGCAGAGAGAGAGAGAAGTCTTCCATCCACTGGTTCACTCCCAAGATGGCCGCAATGGCCAGAGCTGCGCCAATCCGAAGCCAAGAGCCAAGAGCTTCTTCTGGGTCTCCCATGTGGGTGCAGGGGCAAGGATCTGGGCCATTTTCTACTGCTTTCCCAGGCCATAGCAGAGAACTGGATTGGAAGCTGGAGCAGCTGGGACTCGAACCAGTGCTCATAAGGGATGTCGGCACTGCAGGCAGTGGCTTTACCTGCTAAGGAACAGCACCAGCCCCCTGGATTAACTTTTACACATACTCTATTTGAGAGACCAACAGATCATTTTCATTAAGCAGGCAATTCAATTTGTAGAATAGGAATTAAAGACCAAGAGAAAGCTCTGGATTAGAGATACAGATTTTAGAATCATCAGATTTAGATGCTAACTGAATAGACAGGGTCACAATGTGATAAAGTATAAAATCAGGGACCTGACAACAGAACCCTGAACATCAGAAGCATTTAAGTCTGAAATATTCCAAGTTCATATGAATGTCATATTTTAGAAGAATTTTGTGTTTTCTATTTGAGACTTCCAATTAGCTTATAAAGTAGGATGGTCAGTAGTATACTCGTACATCTCCATTCCCTTTCTCATTAAAATGATTACTTTCATTTTTAAAGTATTCTTTTAAAAGGAATGCACATTGATTTAAAAGCCTTGATTAAGAAAAATATGCAAAAAGACTAAGTTCCACTCTCTGCTCAATATCCAACCCCCATCACCCATTTTGAAAAAAAAAAAAGGGGGGGGGGGGAAGAGTTTAAGGAGGTTAATTGACAAATCTAAGTAGCTAACATTAGTCTACATTAATTAAGACTCAAGCACTGTGGCACAGCAGGTTGGGCTGCTGTCTGCAGTGGCATCCCAAGTGGCTGCTCCACTTCAGCCCAGCTCCTTGCTAATATGCCTGGGAAAGCAGTGGAAGACTGCCCATGTCCTTGGGACCCTAACCCTCTGTGGGAGACCTGGATAAGGCTCCAGGTTCCTGGCTTCAGCCTGGCCCAGCCCATTACAACCATCTGGGGAGTAAACCAGCAGATGGAAGATCTCTATCTCTGTCTCTCTCTCTAATTCTGAACTTTAAATAAAATAAATAAATCTTAAAAAAAAATTTTGGATGTACATTTTTTGAAGTTTAGCATGTGTATATATTCGTTATATCATGGCATTATTGAAAAAAGACCTTTAATCACCAAAGCTTATTATTTTCTAATTTTAAAACTAGACAGCTCTCAGAGACATTGAGAACAAGATATGAATAAATACCTGTACAAATTAATTAACACTATCTGAATCATGAAAGAAATTAGCTTGATTTGTGGAAAGCAGCTAGGAGTCAAATAAAACCTAATTCAATAAAATCTAATTTAAACCAAAATATTCAGCACAATTTTTTTTTAATTTCTGGCAATTTCAGTGCCTGGCTAGAAATGTTATCCTAAGACATTAAATGGTGAAAATTTATTGAGCTATAAAATATTGGTAGATTTGGCAGCTCTTTGTCTCAAGCTAAAACTACTGCTACTGGTTCATACCACAAGTGCCAAATTCTTGAATTAGATCAATGATTCTAAAGTGGAAGCCAGCAGTGAGCCAAATCATCAAGGGAATTATTTTTTCCAAAATATATCTCCTCTCTTCATATTCCCTTCATCACTAAGATTGTGAAGGGAAATAGAGATGATGTAAGATATGCCTGTGTCTTTAAAAAAAAAAAAACTACTCAGATTATTTTGAGATATCCATCTCCAACTTCAGGGAAAATTCTTGAATTAGGTCCAACCACCCTTTTAACATTGTAGCATAAGGAACAGAGCTACAAAATGGCAAGAGTTCAGCAAAAGGTGCAAGTAAGAAGCTATACACACAGCAGGTATAAGGCACTTTTAGAGTTTTTGGTGCCAGCTCCCACCAGAATCTACTTCATTATAGACTATGACAAATGTTCGGTTCATCATCCTAAGAAAAGCACATAGTGTACTAGTCAGATAACTATGTAAAAAGAAACAATTCTGGACATCAAAAAACCTAAAAAGCTACAGAGCTAAACACAAAAATTCCTCTGTTCTGACATTAAAAGAATAACAAAGAACTATTCTGTGAAGCTGATAAACTGTTTTGAGATTTCTGCCAATATTTTATTATTTTAGCTTTTCATTACATAGCGTTAGTTTTTCTATGATAAAGCACAGTCAAGTTGACAATCTGAATCATTCTAGAATTTAATAAGATGTCAAAGCTGTGTATTAAAAACCACCACTTAATACAGATATTGAATTATCATGCTGTATCATATAAATATGTACAATTAAAACTGTTTTAAAAATCAAACTCAAATCCACATACATGTCAACATAGCTTAAAGGTTAGATTAAAAAAAATTTTAATGATACACTTTAGAGCAAATATTGTTTCAAAATGAATTTCTATGAAGATTAGAAATCATCCAATTACTATTAAATGCTGATTGGACTAGAATTTCTTAAACTACTTGGTAATTTCCTGCTTCAATCTTTTCGCTAATGTTCAAGTTATTAGAGTCTACGATGACACCTACTGGCCATTGAAAACCAGCCATTAGTTCTCTAAGACATCTCGAGTAAGTTGATTACGTAATAAGAATGAACAAATGAAGAAACTCTCACATACAGAGCACCCTAAATAAAGATTTATTTACAGATACTCAAAACACTACAGAACTGCATTTAAAATAGAACCAAGAGGTTCTATTTTAATAAAGCCAAAAGATGTCATTATTTTTATAAAACAATAAAAGATAAAGAATGAAACAGCAACTATAAATTAAAATTTATACCTAAAGCATATATATTTTACAACTCTGAAAATTTCAGAATAAACTCTTTCCCAAATGGTATTCTGAGGAGGAAAAATGACATTTTGATTTAGGTTCATGTACACTAATATAAATTGGCTTTAATAAAAAAAAATCCCATTATGAGAAAGTTTTTCTGATGTGCAGTGCTGAAATAAGCTCAGGAAAATGATAAACTTGCTAATACTACATCAGTTCTTATCTCCTAAGCTAGGCAACATTTCAAACGGCTTACATTTTGTCAATTTACAATGCTTCTATTAAAACTGCTTTTCCCTGAGCTATAAAAAAAAATCAAGTCTTTATGCAGTTTGTCCTTCCACAACACATACTGAATGTTAATTCTTATTTTAAACCCACATTTCAGGTGCTAATAACGAACAATAAAACATCTTAGCAACAAGCTAATTTACAGCTAATTATGTCTGTAAACACATTTTACCTCAGTCCAAGAGGCTCAGGGAGTATACTTTTAAAACCTAAGAAATAGATAATTTACAATTAGCTTCTCAAGACCTACAAAGGAAACCACTTAAAAATTGATATCCACTCCCTCCCCAATTCAGACCACCACCTTATTTTCATAGTCGCTAACATCCAGGAGAAAAAAAAAAAATCGACCAACTTGTACTTTCCTGCGACTACCAATTTTTGAGGCCACTCATTTTCCTGAAGATTGACAACCCCCCACCAAAAAAAAAAAAAAAGACAAATGGATCCGCTATCAGCCTTGACTCCTGAAACAAAGTCGTTAACTACAAAATATGAAGCTGGCAGCATTCATTTCAACCCAAACCCATATTTGGGATAAGCTGCTCGTGACTACTCTCTCCTTCACGCTACCAGCCCTCGCCCACAGAGCCCGTCAGGGTAGGAAGCACTCAAGCCAACGAAACAAGTGTCCTGCCACATCAATAGGTCGCAAGACCTCCTCTTCCAGGAGGGACAGCCTAGTTGTGTGGGTAAATATCAGCCCAGGATTACATAATACACAGCTACCCAGTCTCCAGTATCTATCTGACCACCAGAAAATATCTTTCTCCTCCGCTTCCCCTCCCCACCACAGGGAAATGGCCCCAACAGGCAAGCCCTAGGATTTCTCTCAGGTGTCTGCAATGTCGTGTCCTTTTCTCGCCTGGGGCTTCGTGCAAGGAATTCCTTCGGCCCTCGCTACCCCGTCTTGCCCCTGCCTCTACCCTTTCTTGCTCTCTTTCTCTGCCAGCGCCACCGCGGCCCCGCACGCCTAAGGCAGGCCCTGCTGCTGCCCCGCGGAGCCCACCTTTAACCCGCCTCAGCAGCCGCCTTCTGCTCCTCACGACCCTCCCGAGCTGCTCTACCTGGTTTACAGGAGGCTCCGGGGCCGCCAAGACTCCGGCTACCGCCTTCCCAAACCACCCTCGTCAGCTCCCGGCTAGGGTCTCCGCCGCAAGAGAAAAAAAAAATCCTGTTCATCGAGACTTTGCGTCCCCCAAAGACAGCACCGCCGCCTACCTGTCACCCCGCTGTCTCCGGCTTTCTACCGCCACCGCCTCCCGCAGCAGCCAGCCAACTGCAGCGCAACAACCTGCCCTCTCATTGGGTGAGTCCACGCTCCCAACAACAGCCTCTCTCATTGGCTGCACCAAGTCCGCGGCCCTACCCCTCTGTGCAGTGTCTAAGGGTTCCGGTCTCCGAGCACTGAAAACATCTCCTCCTCCCACCTTTCTCTCCTCAACTGTGTCTCCTACCTAATTCAGCCTGAGGATGCACCCGTGTGGGGAAAACTACAGACTCCCAGCCTCTTTCATGTTATCTCCCCCGGCCCAGGAATCTGAGACCAAGTACCGGAACGTTAACTGGCTCCTCCGCTTTCCGGCCGTAAAAGACTCGCGGTGACAACTTCCGCTTCCGGTTGGCTCTGGCTGGAGTGTTGAGGAGTGTCCTGAGAGGTCAGATTGCTGTCAGGTAAATTAGGGAGTTGGTGGGAGACTTCTTGACTAGAAATAAGAGGGTGACTCTGTTCTGGGGCGGGCAGAAAGGGCGAGACTAAATGGAGAGGGTGCCTAGCGGGGACAGCTCAAGAGGGAAGGAGATCGAAGAACTAGCAGGGGAGAGCTATGAAGTCCTAATTTAGAGCTGGGTTAGTGAGGGGTGGTTGGAGAAGCGCGCAATGAGAATTACTGGAGTTAAGTTTGTCTCTGCTGCACGCAACATCCCTGCCCCCACCCCCACCCCGTGTTTGTTTGTTTTGGTTACTTTTGGATCCAGTACGGCAGAAGAACAGGCCCTACCCCGAAAATATGTAAAATAGTAATAGTGGTAAAACCTGCATCACAAGCTTGTATAGTTTTCAGCAGTATTCTTCTGGTATAAATATGGTACAATGAAAAAGCGGTGTACAAAATCCACCACGTTTAGAATTCAAACTTCTGAAGTTGCATATACGTAAGAGCAGAGACTGGGACACTGAAAGCGGTAGCGATTGATTTCTTTTCATATTGTAGTATTCTCATTTTTTTTTTTTTAATGAGTGGAAGTTGCATTACGTATTGGAAAGTCTTTGGTGAACGGTGAAATCGCATGAAGTGGAGTATCATTGTCCTCTTAATCTTCTTAGGGAAAGCAGGCCTGCAGTTTTCCAGTGCTAGAGCCGATCCCCTGAGTGGTGATTGGTCACCACTAAACTCAGAAGTTCATTTGAGACGTAGGTATGATGGCATGGTCTTTGTTGAACTAATTTTTTTTACTATTTTTATTTGAGTAGTTTTGAAAGCAAAATAATCATCAATTGTTGAGTCCTTGGCACAATATAAGTCACTTTTTAATTTTATTTTTTGTCAAGCATTCATAACATAAGGGTGTATAAAACATACCTACATTTTAAGGTAAACACCTTAAATACTCATAACCACACCTCAGGTTAAGAAATAAAGCATTTCTGGCCGGCGCCGCGGCTCACTAGGCTAATCCTCCGCCTTGCGGCGCCGGCACACCGGGTTCTAGTACCGGTGGGGGCACCGGATTCATCCCGGTTGCCCTTCTTCCAGTCCAGCTCTCTGCTGTGGCCCAGGAGGGCAGTGGAGGATGGCCCAAGTCCTTGGGCCCTGCACCCGCATGGGAGACCAGGAGGAGCACCTGGCTCCTGGCTTCGGATCAGCGCAATGCGCCGGTGGCGGCGGCCATTGGAGGGTGAACCAACGGCAAAAGGAAGACCTTTCTCTCTGTCTCTCTCTCTCACTGTCCACTCTGCCTGTCAAAAAAAAAATTTTTTTTTTAAAAAGAAAGCATTGCTTTCTCAACAGGGGTGATCACCCTTCAAGGGGGTGAGAATTGGTTGGGGAGGGGAATTGGTACAATGGCTTGTGTCACTGCAAAGGACCACATTACATAAGCAGATATATAGTATACCTATGATGGTAAAATTTCATTGGGGAAGGGTGTGATGGAACATGATTGGGAAAAATATCTAAAAGCCTCCTTAGAGGGACAGTAATTTTTTTTTAAAAGATTTATTCATTTTATTTGAAAGAGTTCGAAGAAGAGACAGAGAGACATAGATATTCCATCCCTTGACCTCAACAGCCAGGGCTGGGCCAAGCCGAAGCCAAGAGACAGGAGCTCTTTCCAGGTTCTCCTACATGAGTGCAGGGGCCTACGCACTTGAACCATCTTCCCCTGCTTTCCGAGGCACATTAGCAAAGAGCTGGATCAGAAGTGGAGCAGCGGGGACTCAGTTAACAACAGTGTCAGACCCAGAGGGACAGAAAAATTGGTTTTAAAATACTGCCTAAGAAGCTACCTGTATTGGCTTTTGTGATTCCATCTCCTTGTCCACTGAGAGGTAGCCATTATCCTGATTTGTGAGTCTATACTTATTTAAGTTTCCATTTATGTTGCATCCCATAAAGAATGACTTGTTAGGCTTTTTCCAATATGCTATATAAATAGAGTCAAAATGCATGTGTCTTCTCTCGGACTCACCCCTTGCTCATTGTTTTGAGATTCATTAGATGTAGGTTAACTTGTCAGAATTAATATGTTTTTTTCCTTATCTTGGAACTATTTAATAAAATGAACATTTGTCTTCTACAATGCAGTAGAAGAAGTGTTGCCTTATTATTGAATGCAGATATAATTGTAATTATTTGGTTGGCTTTATTTCAGAAGAGCAGTGATTATAGAATTAGAACTGCTAACCTTATATAGAGTATGATATAGCTTTATTAATTCATACCCCTTAATTTGAAATTTGTCACAATGTAAATAGGGACTGAGATGTTTATTTTTATATTTTCTATAAAAATAACACTAGTAAAACTGAAGTCTCCCCTTTGGGGACATACTTTATTTAAGGAACCAAGCTTATTAACTAAAATGGGAGCCTAAGATCTCTGTTGTTCTAATTCAGGAAAAATAAACTGCAGCCTATGAACCAAATCTTGCCTGCTGTCTATATTTGTAGGTCCATGAGCCAAGAATGTGTTTTTTAAAAATATATTTTTTAAAGGTTTTATTTATTTATTTGAGAGGTAGAGTTACAGACGGTGAGAGGGAAAGACAGAAATGTCTTCCGTACGCTGGTTCACTCCCCAAATGGCTGCAAAGGCTGGAGCTGCACCAGGAGCTTCTTCCAGGTCTCCCATGCAGGTGCAGGGGCCCAAGGACTTGGGCCATCTTCCACTGCTTTCCCAGGCCGTAGCAGAGAGCTGGATTGGAAGAGGAGCAGCCGGGACTAGAACTGGTGCCCATATGAGATGCTGGCGCCATAGGCGGAGGATTAACCTACTGCATCACAGTGCCAGGCCCGTAAATATTTTTATTATTTATTTATTTGAACAGCAATATTACAGAGAGAGAGGGAGAGACAGAGAGAAGAATCTTCCATCCACAGGTTAGTTCCTCAGGTGGTTGCAGTGGCTGGATCTGGGCCAGGCCAAACCCAGCAACCTATGTGGTTGGTCTCCTGTGTGGGTGGCAGGGGCCCAAGCACTTAGGCCATCTTTATCTTTTTTTTTTTTTTTTTTAAGGTTTATTTATTTATTTGAAAGGCAGAGTTACAGAGAGAGAGGTCTTCCATCTGCCAGTTCACTCCTTAAATGGCCACAATGGCTAGAGCTGAGCTGATCCGGAGCCAGAAGCTTCTTCCAGATTTCCCATGCCGGGTACAGAGGCCCAAGGACTTGGGCCATCTCTTACTGCTTTCCCAGGCCAAGGCAGAGAGCTGGATCAGGAACGGAGCAGGCAGGACTCAAACCAGCTTTGGGCATCTTCTGCTGCTTTCCCAGGTGCGTTAACAGGGAGCTAGATGGGAAGTGGAGCAGCTGAAACTCAAACCAGCACTCTTGTGGGAATGCATGTATCACAGGCCATGGGTTAACCTGCTGTGCCACAACGATGACCTGCTCTAAGAAATTTTTTTAAGATTTGTTTTATTTATTTGAAAGGCAGAGAAATATCTTCCATCGGCTGATTCACTCCCCAAATGGCTGCAACAGCCAGAGCTGGGCCAGGTTGAAGTCAGGAGCCTGGAATTCCATTCAGGTCTCCCACATGGGCACAGGGACTCAAGTACTTGGTACATCTTCTGCTACTTTCCCAGGCACATTAGCAGGGAGCTGAAGCAGCTGGGACTTTCATAGGAAGCACAAGTAACAGGTAGCAGCTTAACCTCCTGTGCCACAACACTGGACCCCTGAGAACATTTTTTTAAGATTTTTTTAAAAAGATTCATTTATTTATTTGAAAGGCAGAGTTACAAAGATAGAGAGACAGAGATCTTCTATAAACTGGTTTGCTCCCCAAATGGCTGCAATGGCTGGGGCTAGGGAAGGTCAAAGTCAGGAGGCAGAACTCCATCCAGGTCTCCCATGAAGGTGCAGCTTAACCCACTGCTTTCTGAGGCACATTAGCAGGGAACTGAATCAGAAGTGGAGCATCTAGGACTCGAACAGGTGCCCATATGGAAGGCCACCAGCAGTTTAACCCACTGTACCAGAATGCTGGCCCCCTAGAATGTTTTTTTCAGATGAACATTGCAGTCACTTTAATGTTAAGGAACACCAACCTTAAGCCCTAGTTGAGCAAAAGGTTATCCCAAAAGAAGGGAATTCTATGTTTCTCATCTGTAGGCCTGTGTTACAAAGAATTGTACTTAGTTATTATTTTATTTTGAGCTTTATCCATAAAATACGTGTGGAAATTTGTTTTTTTCTCTTTATATATGTATCTACACAATATCCTCAATTTTACCTCTCTTGCCACGAAGCCTAAGATATTTGACTACAGAAAAAGTTTATTTGGGGCCGGCACTGTGGTGCAGCAGGTTAAAGCCCTGGCCTAAAGTGCCGGCATCCCATATGGTTCTAGTCCCAGCTGCTCCTCTTCCGATCCAGCTCTCTGCTATGGCCTGGGAGAGCAGCAGAAGATGGCCCAAGTCTTTGGGCCCCTGCACCCATGTGGGAGATCTGGAAGAAGCTCCTGGCTCCTGGCTTCGGATCAGCACAGCTGCTGCTATTACGGCCATCTGGGGAGTGAACCAGTAGATGGAAGACCTCGCTCTCTGTCTCACCCTCTGTCTGTAACTATCTTTCATATAAATAAAATAAATCTTTAAACAAAAAAAGTTTATTTAATCATGTTTTAAGAGTAATATTACTGCATTTTAAGAGAATCATCTAAACAAAGCAGATAATAAAACAATATGTACATTTTTGTTAATGCATAATTTTGCAGTAGGACTTAAAAAAGAAGACAACATTGCTTAGCATTTAGGAGCAAGGTTTCTGAAACTGAATTGCAAAATTCAAATTATAATTGTACCATTTACTATTTTTGTTACCTTCACAGAGTTACTTAATTTCTTGAATCTCCTGGTCTTCATCATAAATGGGGATGGTCTTAGTTTATGTTCCGAGTTATTTTAGAAGTAGTGGAGTTAAGGGGCAGCATTGTGGCGTGGCGGGTGAAGCTGTAATATGCAATGCTGGCTTCCCATATGGGCACCAGTGCATGTCTGGCTGCTCGACTTCTAATCCAGCTTCCTGCTAATGACCTGAGAAAAGCACCAGAGATGGCCCAAGTGTTTGGGCCCCTGCCTCCCATGTGGGAGACCCAGATGAAGCTCCTGGCTCCTGACTTTGAAGTGGCCCAGTCTCCCCAGCGGAGAGAAGATCTCTGTCTATTCCTGTCTCTTTTGCTCACTCTTTCAAATAAATCTTAAAAAAAAAGCCGGCGCTGCGGTTCACTAGGCTAATCCTCCGCCTTGCGGCGCCGGCACACCGGGTTCTAGTCCCGGTCAGGGCTCCGGATTCTGTCCCGGTTGCCCCTCTTCCAGGCCAGCTCTCTGCTGTGGCCAGGGAGTGCAGTGGAGGATGGCCCAAGTGCTTGGGCCCTGCACCCCATGGGAGACCAGGAGAAGTAGCTGTCTCCTGCCATCGGATCAGTGCGGTGCGCCTGCCACAGCGCACCGGCCGCGGCAGCCATTGGAGGGTGAACCAACGGCAAAGGAAGACCTTTCTCTCTGTCTCTCTCTTTCTCACTGTCCACTCTGCCTGTCAAAAAATTTAAAAAAAAATTTAAAAAAAATAAAAAAAAAAAAGGCAATGGAGTTAATACATGTAGAGCATAGGGCACCTGGCACATAGGGCCCAATAAATATTTACCATTATTATTATAATGACAAAAGGAAAAAATAGGAAGTGGTTATTTCTGAGTAGTAGAATTACTGACTAGCTTTTTATTATTTTATATACGTGTATTTCCTGTGTACATATATTAGTTACGTAATATGAGTATTATAAAATCTTCAACACAGATTTTTCATGTTTATGTCTTTTTTAAAAGTATGAACTATTTCACTTGAAACATAAACAACAAATTTGGCTTTTTAATATCTGATCTGCTATTTCTCCCTTAATGTTGCTCTTTCCTTAAGGCATGGCCCCTGGACATGGGCACGGGCATGAACACGGTCATAGTCATGGAAAAATGGAACTTCCAGATTATAGACAATGGAAGATAGAAGGGACGCCATTAGAAATTGTCCAGGAGAAGCTGGCTGCACGGGGGCTGAGGGATCCATGGGGCCGGTAAGATGAATTAAGTAATTTAGATAGCATTTATCTTAGAGAATTAGTGTCTGTGTTCCTTTTCAACGTATTCTCTTTAAACAATCATGGGAAATGACTTTTAAATAAAGTTTTAAAAATTACCTTTATTGGAATATCATATATGGTAAAATTCACTCATTTTAAGTGTATAATTCCATTAGTTTTGACACATACACAATTATGTAACCCCACAGTCATGGTACGAAATACTTCCATTATCCCAAAAAGTCCTCTCATGGCCTTATGGCCCTTAGCAGTCAGTGTTCTTCGAGGCTCCTGGCAACCTTTGATCTACATTGTTGCTATAGTTTTGTCTTTTCTAAAATTTCATACAATTGGAATCATCCCTATATTGCTTTGTTGTCTTTTGTTCTGGCCTCTTTAACTTAACATAATGTTTTGACACTTAACATTTGTTGCAGCTATCCCTAATTCTTCCTTTTTAATGCTTTTTAATTTTAAATCCATTATATAGGTATACCTCATATTGTTTACCATTTACTAGTTTGTTTCTAGCTTTTGGCTATAATGAATAAAGCTGCTATAACCATTCAAGTACAAGTCTGTGTGAGCATATATTTTCATTTCTTTTGGGTAAATACCTAAGAATGGGATTTCTAGATCATATGATAAATGTATAGTTGATTATATAAAAGCTGTCAATCCAGGATAGGCATTTGGCCTAGTAATTAAGATGCTGGTTAAGATGCCCGTGTTCCAATCAGAGTACCTGGGTTCTGTATTGGCTGTAGCTCTGGCTCCTAATTCCAGCTTCCTACTAATGCAGACTTGGGAGGCAGTAGGTGATGGCTCAAGCAGAAAATCTAGCTTCTAAAATTCAGACTTCTGTGACAGGGAAAAGCTGTAAGCCTCTTGAATAGTAATAATAATGTCAAGTGTTACACCTTCCTCTGCCAAAATATCTCACACGTTAGCATGTTTAATAATAGCCCTGTAAGGCACAGAGTGATCGTCACTGAATAGAAGGAGTGAACCCTGACAGGTTAATTACTTGCCCACCCTGAAAGGTTACAATTCTAGGAAAAGCAGGAGAGCAAAGATTAATAGTCTTCTAACGTCATCTTTCCATGATGTAACGACCAGTATGGGCTGCGCCTAGGCAATCTGTGACAGAGGGGCTGGAGTGAATCTTGTATTTGACAATTCTGAAACATCCTGAGTAATAGCACTAGAAAATATGAAATCATCGAGGGTTTTTATTTTATACTTGAAACTTGAAAATATATTCTTTTTTTTTAAGATTTTATTTTTATTTGAGAGGTAGAGTTACAGACAGAGAAAGGGAGAGAAGGGTGTTCCATCTGCTGGTTCACTCCCCACATGGCCACAATGGCTGGGGCTGGGCAGATCCAAAGCCAGAAGCCAGGAGCTTCCTCGATGTCTCCCACATGAGTGCAGGTGCCCAAGCACTTGGACCATCCTCCACTGCTTTCCCAGGCTGCAAGCAGAGAGCTGGATCGGAAGAGGAGAGGCCAGGACACAAACCAAGCCCAAACAGGATACCAGGGCCACAAGCAGAGGCTCAACCTACTATGCCACAGCACCGACTCCAGGGAATATATTCTTTTTTTTTTTTTTTAAGATTTTATTTATTCATTTGAGATGTGGAGCTACAGACACAGAGAGGTCTTCCATCTGCTGGTTCACTCCCCAAATGGCAACAACTGCTGGAGCTGAGCTGATCCAGAGCCAGGAGCTTCTTCTGGGTCTCCCACATGGTTGCAGGGGCCCAAGCACCTGAGCCATCTTCCACTCCTTTCCCAGGCCAAAGGTAGAGAGCTAGATTTGGAAGAGGGGCAGCCAGGACACAAACCAGTGCCCTTAAGGGATGCCGGTGCCGCAGGCAGAGGCTTAGCCTACTATGCCACAGTGCTTGCCCCAGCAATATAGTCTTAATTAACCTTTGCCACAGTAAATCCTGTTGTGATCTATTTAGGTTATCTTCCTATAAGTTTGCATTTAAATGTGTTAGAAAGATGAAAAATTAGATTTATTTTACTCAGTGAATGTGCACAGCTTGTATGTAACTATAATTTTTCCTTTTTTCTCTTCTAGCAATGAAGCCTGGAGATACATGGGTGGCTTTGCACACAATGTTTCCTTTATTGGTGCATTACTGAAAGGATTCAAATGGGGATTTGCTGCATTTGTGGTAGCTGTGGGGGCTGAATATTACCTGGAGTCTCAGAATAAAGACAAGAAGCATCACTGAAGGTAGTGCCTGAAAGTCTCTTGGTGGCTTCCTAACTCGTATAAATATAAGATTCTTCACTGTAGCCTACTTGTATGTATGTTTATCCCCTAAAGAATACTGATAAGATTTAATAAAGTAAGAAGAACGTATGCTGGTCTGTTTTGTCATTCTTAAAAAAAAATTTGAAAAAAGTATCTCAAGCCATATCAAATTTTATTTGGAATACCTGGTGTGGGGTGGGTACTGTCAGCAGTGCATTCTGCAGACAGCTTGCACATATTTAACAAATGTATATGCTCTAACGTTCTTAAATGGGACTTGGCCTTGTTGTTTTTCCCACTCTCTAAAGGTGGTTTAGATGGACCTAGATTGTATTGTCAGATATTTGCTGCCTACTTCTCATTGACGTATTTGTAGGTCATTTTCATTTTTCTATGTGATGGTATATTTTAAGCTTGCTTTAATCCTCATTTTTCCCATATTGTGACAAGCTTGGTGTTTTTTTCCTTCTGTGTTTCTAATGATAAACTAGACAATATCTCCATATTGTTTATTTTTAAAGCTTTATTTATTTATTTGAAAGTCAGAGTTACACAGAGAGAGAAGGAGAGGCAGAGAGAGAGAGAGAGATCTTCCATCCACTGGTCCACTCCCCAATTGGCCGCAATGGCCGGAGCTGCGCCAATCTGAAACCAGGAGCCAGGAGCTTCTTCCGGGTCTCTCAGACAGGTGCAGGGGCCCAAGGACTTGGGCTATCTTCCAGTGCTTTTCCAGACCATAGCAGAGAGCTGGATCAGAAGTGGAGAAGCTGGGACTCAAACTGGCACCCAAATGGCATGCCGGCACTGCCAGCAGTGGCTTTACCTGCTACACCATAATGCAGGCCCCATCCATATCATTTTTAAATGGACTCATTTTCTTTCTTTCTTTTTTTGTTTTTATAAAGGTCTATTTATTTATTTGAGAAGCAGAGTTACAGACACAGAGAGGGCGAGGCATTCCTCAAATGGCCACCATTGCTGGTGCTTGGCCAATCAGAAGCTAGGAGCGAGGAGCTTCTTCCAGGTCTTCCACGTGGGTGTAGCACTTGGCCATCATCCACTGCTTTCCCAGACTATTAGAAGGAAGCTGGATCAGTAGTAGAGCAGCCAGGACTTGAACCGGCACCCATATGGGATGCTGGTGCCACAGGCCTTGGATTAGCCTACTATGCCACAGTGAACTCATTTTCTAACATGGCAGTCACCCAGATGGGAGGTACACATCTCAGTGGTGTACAAGTTCATCCATTATGATGAGAAGAGAAGCATTTAAACTCCTGTTTAATGAAAATTAAGTTTTTAAATGTTTTTAGATTTGCAGTGGAATTTTTCTCTCACATAATGGATACCAAGTAGTCATGTAGAATTTGGGCTAAGTAAGGTATCCTGAGGGGAAAGTGAGGGCTCTTGCCACCAGAAGAGAGAATAAAAGGACTTTCTATCAGATAGCTACTGGCATACTTCATATGTGCTCCGTTTGTGGAGTTTCTTATCTACACGTTTAAATTCATCTTCATGAAGTAGGAAAGTGGCTCAAAAAGATTTTTGCAAAGAAATTGCCAGCTGAAGCTAATACCAATAATGCAGGAACAAGCACACAAGAAGACAATGGCTGAGCTATAAACTCTTCACCAGTTATGTTGGTCTAATAATGGGAAAAAACAACAGTAAAAAAAAAAAGTCAGAAATATGGACTTATACTCACTATTAACTAGTACAGTGAATCTTACCCATGATCTGCATATAGTCATGATTAGCAAGACATTTTAAAACATGTTTAATCTTAGTCTTGCCTTTGTTACCTTCTCTCTCTCTCTTTTTTTTTTTTTTTTAATTTTTTGCCAGGCAGAGATAGTGAGAGAGAGAGAGACAGAGAGTTATAGACCAACAGAGACAGACAGAAAGGTCTTCTTCTGTTGGTTCACTCCTCTAATGGCCTCTATGGCTGGCGCTGCGCCAATCCGATCCGAAGCCAGGAGCCAGGTACTTCCTCCGGTCTCATATGAGTGCAGGGACCCAAGCACTTGGGCCATCCTCCTCTACCCTCCCGAGCCACAGCAGAGAGCTGGACTGGAAGAGGAGCAACCGGGACTAGAACCTGGGGTGCTGGTGCTGCAAGCGGAGGATTAGCCAAGTGAGCCACTGCGCTGGCCTCTCTCTCTTTTTCTTTTTTTTTTTTTTTAAGATTTTATTTATTCATTTGACAGGTAGAGTTACAGACAATGAGAGGGTGAGACAGAGAGAAAGGTCTTCCTTCTGTTGGTTCACTCCCCAGATGGCCACAATGGCTGGAGCTGCGCCAATCTGAAGCCAGGAGCTTCTTCCAGGTCTCCCAGACGGGTGCAGGGGCCCAAGCACTTGGGCCATCCTCCATTGCTATCCCAGGCCATAGCAGAGAGCTGGATTGGAAGAGGAGCAGCCGGGACTAGAACTGGTGCCCATATGGGATGCCAGCGCCGCAGGCAGAGGATTAACCTACTGTGCCACAGCGCTGACCCCTCTCTTAGTACTTTAAGATTTACTTTTTAAATTTTATTTAAATTATACAAGTTTCATGTATTTCATATATACATATTTAGGAACATAGGATATTTATCACCCTGCCCTCCCTCCTGCCCACTCTGCAACCATTCTTTCTCCTCCCTCTACTATTCCCACTCTTAATTTTTATGAAGATCTACTTTCAGTTTACTTAATGATCGTAAAGTTAACCCTATACTAAGTAAAAAAGTTCAACAAATAGTATGAAGTGAAAAAAAAAAAACACTTTCTCATCAGAAGAGACAAGGGAATATTTATTTGAGAGGCAGAGTAACAGAAAGGTCTTCCATCTACTGGTTCACTCCCCAAATGGCCTCAACAGCTGGAGCTGGGCTGATCTAGAACCAGAAACCAGAAGTTCTTTGCATCTCCCACATGGGTGTAGGGGCCCAAAGCACTTGGGCCATCTTCCACTGCTTTCCCAGGCCATTAGCAGGGAGCTAGATCAGAAGTAGAGCTGCAGGGACTCGAACTGCAGGCCACGCAGAAGCTTAACCTACTATGCCACAGCACCAGCATGAACTCCTGGCTCTTGGTTTTGGATTGGCCCAGCTCTGGCCATTACAGCCATTTGGGAAGTGAACCAGAAGATGGAAGACTTTTCTGTGTCTCTCCCTCTCTCTGTAATTCCACCTCTCAAGTAAATAAATAAAATCTTTTTTAAAAATTTTATTTACAAGAGAGCACAACCACACCCATCCATTAATTTTTTTTCTCCAAATGCTGTAATCGCCAGGACTGGGCCCTATTGAAACTAGGAGCTAGGAACTCAATCCTGGTCTCCCTGGTGGGTAACAGAAGTCTAGTTGCTAAAGTCATCACCACTGCCTCCTGAGGTGTACGTTGGCAGAAGGCTAGAATGAGGAGGAGGAGCCAGGAACTAAATACAGGCACTCTGATACGGAATATGGATGTTTTAACCAGCATCTTAATTGCTATGCCAAACACCTGCCCCCCCAAATGGCTGCAATGGCTAGGGCCAGGCCACACTGAAACCAGGAGCCATGAGCTTCTCCCCAGTCTCCCACATAGGTGCAGGGGCCTAAGTACTTGGGCCACCTTTCACTGCTTTTCCTAGGCCATTAGCAGGAAGCTGGATCAGAAGTGGAAGACCCAGGACCTATATGGGATGCTGGTGCTACAGGTGGTGGCTTAGTCCACTATGCCATGTGCCACTCCCCCCGACCCCAAAGTCTTTTTTAAAGTATAATTTGTTATGTACAATCAGTTTAGTTTAACAGCAAAAATTGTTATTTCAAGATGGCCTCTAACTCATTTGACAGGTCACATTAGTTTCAAATATGATTTAATCCTCACTGGCTCTCAGATTCTCCAAATCTAAAAGCCATGCTGGGGCCAGCACTGTGGTGTAGTGGATAAAGCTGCCGCCTGCTGTGCCAGCGTCCCATATGGGTGCTGGGTCAAGTCCCAACTGCTCCACTTTCGATCCAGCTCTCTGCTATGGCCTGGGAAAGTAGTAGAAGATGGCCCAAGGGGGCCCCTGCATCCACGTGGGAGACCTGGAAGATGCTCCTGGCTCCTGGCTTTGGATTGGCACAGCTCAGGCCATTGTGGCCAACTGGGGAGTGAACCAGCGGATGGACGACCTTTCTCTCTCTCTCTCTCTGCCTCTGAACTTTCTGTGTAACTCTGACTTTCAAATAAATAAATAAATCTTTTTTTTTTTTTTTTTTACAAAAAAAGCCATGCTAATGAGAATGAGAGCTGGTTTACCTCAGTATCAGTTTAGGGGATAAAAAGGAATTTTCTTTACTTTTGTTTTTGCTTGTTTTGTAGTGGGCCAGAAAATCAGCTTCAGAAACAGACTAGAAGACCCCTATGGGAATCATACTCATATGTCTTTGATTCTACCAGAAAGAATCTACTGCAAGGAGGAACTTCAATATTGTATACTATGTTGTACACATAAATATGTTTTATTTGCACAAATACAATAAACTATCCAAAATGCAGTTTCGTTTAAATTTTCCAAAATTCAATTTCATTTAAATTATTAGGTCCAGCGCTGTGGCTCAGCAGGTTAACGCCCTGGCCTGAAGCGCCGGCATCCCATATGGGCTCCAGTTCTAGTCCCTAGTCCCGGATGCTCCTCTTCCAATCCAGCTCTCTGCTGTGGCCTGGGAAAGCAGTAGAAGATGGTCCAAGTATTGGGCCCCTGTACCCATGTGGGTGACCTGGAAAGAAGCTCCTGGCTCCTGGCTTAGGATCGGCGCAGCTCCGTTGCGGTCAATTGGTGAGTGAACCATCGGATGGAAGACCTCTCTCTCTCTCTCTCTCTCTCTCTCTCTCTCTGCCTCTCTTCTCTCTCTGTAACTCTGACTTTCAAATAAAATAAATAAATCTTTTAAAATGATTAAATTATCAGTACCATATATTAGAATGAATTACCTTTGATACATATAAACAGTCTAAAACATGGCTTTAGCAGTTGAAAAAAAGACAAAATACCCATGTTTCAAAATCTGTATTTTTTTATTTAATCTTAAATGCAGCATAATGTAAGGACACTTGAAATACAGCCATACATTTTAAAACTAATTGGAAAGAGTTTTTGGTTATTGCTAAAAACTTATGTTTCTGAAAATTTATTATAAAGTAAGAACCTTTTGTACCCTTAGGATATAACTCAGAAGATTTTGTGTCATTTGGGAATGTCACATATTTTCATTTTGTCTTCTAAAACTAAAAGGTTAGGGGCCAGTGTTGTGGCACAGTGGGTTAAGTTGCTGCCTGTAACATTGGCACCTGTATGAGTCTTGGCTGCTCCACTTCTGATCCAGCTCCCACTAACATTCCTGGGAAAGCAATGGAAGATGGCCCAAGTACTTGAGTTTTTGCTACCCATGTGGGAGAACCAATAGAGTTCCTGGCTCCTGGTTTCCACCTGGCCCATCCTAGGCTGTTACAGCCATTTAGAGAATAAACCTATGAATGGAAAATCTGTCTCTGTAACTCTGCCTTTCAATTAACACATCTTAAAAAAAAAAAAAAAACGGAAAGGATAATTCTTAGTCAAAGCACATTATGGCTGCAAAGAAATGTTTTGCTTTTAGATTTTTACCGATTATAGTATTTATAAATTATTAATTAAATCTCTTTAAAGTACTCATGTGAATGTTAAATCTACTCTCATTTTAATTACCCAACTTCCCAAGCCAAATTTGGAAATAATAACAGCATTTAACACCTCTTTCTGCTGATTTGGTAATTAAGCAAAGCATCTGTCTAAATTTACTTTAATATTTTAAATACCTTGATCAGATATTTTACCTTATTATAGAATAAAAAACAGATTTTTTTAAAAAGATCTTTGCATTATACATTTAAATGAGTTGAACTTTTAAGTGAATGTTTTGTCATTACAGCTCTTATTGTGTCATATGCATGATAGATTTTATTTCATTTATTCTCTTGCTTCAAAATTTCCATGGGAAATCCTAACTGTTCAGGGACACAGTACTGATGGCCAACTCTGTGGTTCACGGTAACCATAGCAATAAATGTACTAAAAATAAAGAATGCCTTTTGGGCACAGATGGTATCATCTTACTCAGCAGGAATCAGGTTCACAGGCAGTGGTATCACCTGGACCTGGGAATCCTACGTGACAGTAACTTGATACAACATTAAGCATCTAATACAGATATAAAAACTTAACAATTTTATCTTATATTCAGATAAGACTTTCTAGTGAAACTAGAAACAAACTACATCTGTTGATGTTAAATAATTTCCAAGAAGGAAACATCAAGTTCCTATATTTAACCAATATGGGGATTTAACTCAAGATACTATTCTCTTTAATTCACGACCTATTAATGATATCACAGAAGGCCTGTGGTGATGGTGACTTGGCACAGGTTCTATAACTGGAAGGTACTTTCTCCATCCCATGGCAAGGATGTTAAATCTTAGCTCTGCCTAAGCATTCTGACAGCTGCTATTAACTTTCCCATTGATGTGTTGATGATAAAACACCATCAAAGGTCAAAAACAATTTATGCATAATGCAACCAGTTACCCCATGGCCTTTGCATGTAATAGATATTGTTCTTTTTTGTTGGTTTGGCTTCTTTTGTCAAAGTTACAAGAACAGAAGCCCTGCACATGCAAATAATAGAGCATGCTGACCCAACCTTCCTCCAATGTCAAGTCAAGGGTGCTCCATCCAAGTGTAACCAGAACAAAGGCAGAACTCTGCACCACTTTCTCTGAATTTTGCTCAGTTGCTTAACAAATATCTATTGAGCACCTCCTATGTACCGGTGATATCCATGGACTAAAGGTACATCAGAAACAAAACAAATTCTTCTCCTTGTGCTTACATTCCAGGGCAGGATTGTTATTTATTTTTCTTGAAGCTGACTGACAGTGGGGATTCTCACTACCTGGAAGGCACCAGAGACATATTACGAACCACACACTTTTTTTCCAGAAACATAAATCTGAAATCATAGTTTAAATTAGTAACATCTGTGTCTTGATAATTTTTTTCCCTCTATTAGTAAATTGCACAAGATATTTTACCCTCCTAATAAAACATATCTTGCCTTATTTTATAACTCAGAAACTGTTTTAGTTATTCTTCTCTATCAGATTATAAATCTTGAAAATCTTGTCTTATTTATCCTCTTATCTTTCACCAATGCCTTGCACATGGTAAATGTTCAACAGATGATTTACTGGGCTCAACTCCATTTTTTTTTAAAGATTTATTTTATTTATTTGAAAGAGTTACACAGAAAGATAAGGAGATACAGAGAGGTTCACTCCCCAACTGGCCGCAAAGGCCAAAGCAGCACCAATCCGAAGCCAGGAGCCAGGAGCTTCTTCTGGGTCTCCCACGCGGGTGCAGGGGCCCAAGGACTTGGGCCATCTTCCACTGCTTTCTGAGGCCATAGCAGAGAGCTGGATCGGAAGTGGAGCAGCCGGGACTCGAACCGGCATCCATATGGGATGCTGGCACTGCAGGCAGTGGCTGTACCTGCTACGCCACAGCGCCAGCCCCTCTACTCCATTTTTAAATGAAGACTTTATCATATCATAGTAAGTATAATAAGTATAAATTCCCACATAAAGTACTTATATACAGTTATACTATTTTTCTTTCACAGTGTTTTGTGGAAAGTAATTTTATTTACTTTTTATTTTTAAATTTGTGTTTATGGGGGCTGTTAACTCCTTTTTCCTTGACCATATAGAATCAACTCTTTAAAAGTAATGAGCCACTGAAGAACAACAGCAGATTTTGAAAGTTTCATAATGTGTCACTTCTCTATCCTATATAAATCATTCTTTTCTTTTTAAGTCAGAAGTCTCCATCTTAGGGCCAGTGTTGTGGTGGTTAAGCCACTGCTTCCGAAGCCAGCATCCCATATTGCAGCGCCAGTTCAAGTCCTGGCTGCTCCACCTCCAACCCAGCTCCCTGCTAATGTGCCTGTCTAACTCTATCTGTCAAATAAAATAAATAAATAAATAAATAATTTTTTTTGACAGGCAGAGTTAGAGAGAGACAGAGAGAAAGGTCTTCCTTCCATTGGTTCACCCCCCCAAATGGCCACTACGGCTGGCGTGCTGTGCCGATCCGAAGCCAGGAGCCAGGAGCTTCCTCCTGGTCTCTCATGCGGGTGCAGGGCTCAAGCACTTGGGCCATCCTCCACTGCCTTCCCGGGCCAAAGCAGAGAGCTAGACTGGAAGAGGAGCAACTGGGACAGAATCTGGCGCCCTGACTGGGACTAGAACCCGGGGTACCTGTGCCGCTAGGTGGAGGATTAGCCTAGAGAGCCACAGCGCCGGCCTTAAATAAATAAATCTTAAAAAAAAAAAAAAAAAAAAAAAAAAAAACACATTGAAGCAAGCAGTTTGAAAAATTCAAAAATACATAATCTGTACCAATGCAAAATATACCCAAAAACACTTTTTTCAACCTTACTTTAAAAATGCCTGATGGGGCCAGCGCTGTGGCGTAGTGGACTAAGTCTCTGCCTATGGTGCTGGTATCCCATATGGGTGCCAGTTCATATCCCCACTGCTCTCCTGATCCAGCTCTCTGCTATGGCCTCGGAAAGCAGTGGAAGATGGCCCAAGTGCTTGGGCCCCTGCACCCACGTGGGAGACCCAGAAGAAGCTCTTGTCTCCTGGCTTCAGATCAACCTAGCTCCAGTCTTTGTGGCGATTTGGGGAGGGAACCAGCAGATGGAATACCTTTCTCTTTGTCTCTCCCTCTCTCTGTAATTCTACATCTCAAATAATAAAATAAATAAAAATTTTTAAAATGCCTAATCACAGAGTATTACTGTTAACAGTTCTGTTTATTAATGCTCAATTTTGATTGCGGCAATGAGGTTACAGGTCCTTCTCAGGAGTTTTATTTCTTGTGTGGGCACTAATTTAAATTCAAGCTCCAAATGTATATAACAAATACAATTGAAATTCTCAACCTTTAACTTGATCAAACTTTCATAGCACCCAGGTTGATTCCAGCATTATCTAGATTTCAGACACATGGTCAGAAAATTTAGGTTATTTCTGAAAATGTTTTGCAGAAAAAGTGGTGGTGGTGAGGCCAGCATTGTGGCACAATAGGTTAAGCCACTGCCTGTGATGCCAGCATCCAGTATGGACGCTGGTTTGTGTCCCAGTTGCTCTATTTGCATTACAACTCCCTGCTAATGCACCTGAGAAAGCAGCAGAGTATGGCCCAAGTTCTTGAGCACTTACATCATGTAAGAGACCCAGATGGAGTTACTGGCTCCTGACTTTGGCCTGTCCAGGCCCTGACCGTAGCAGCCTGGGAAGATCTCTCTCCTCTCACTGCACCCACCCCTTATCTCCGTAATTCCACCTTTCAAATAAATAAATAAATAAATAAAAAGTGATGGGAATTATGGTTTTCCTATCTAGTATATAAGTCTTAAGGTCTGGACATAGGGCATTTACCAAATCATATCTA